AGCACTGCCTCACCTTCCTCCTGGGCAGCTGCCTGGGCAGCACTGCCTCACCCTTCTCCTGTGCAGCTCCCTGGGGAGCACTGCCTCACCCTCCTCCTGAGCAGCTCCCTGGGCAGCACTGCCTCATGCTTCTGTGCAGCTCCCTGGGCAGCACTGCCTCACCCTCCTCCTGTGCAGCTCCCTGGGGAACACTGCCTCACCCTCCTCCTGGGCAGCTCCCTGGGGAGCACTGCCTCACCCTCCTCCTGGGCAGCTCCCTGGGGAGCACTGCCTCACCCTCCTCCTGTGCAGCTGCCTGGGCAGCACTGCCTCACCCTCCTCCTGTGCAGCTCCCTGGGGAGCACAGCCTCACCCTCCTCCTGGGCAGCTCCCTGGGGAGCACTGCCTCACCCTCCTTGGCATCATCAGAGAACAGAACACATGAACATCAGCAACAGCCACATGGTTCAACTTTAAACACCTTCAGAATTTTAATTCTGTATTTATGGTTTTGCATTCTGTCTTATCTTCAGAAGGAAAACCGCCACTGTGTCCATTTCTCTTGCCTTTAGTGATTGCATATACTCATCCATTAAATAGCCACTATAAACAAAGGTACCTTAGAAGGACCGTGGATACAAACCCATGATGGCCTACAGAGGTAGGGACAGTAGTTCCCAGGACTCCCAGAACCACAAGCTCTGTTACTTCCTCCAGCAGGGCTGGTAACACTGAGAGTTTTCCTATGGGCCCTTTTGTTCCCTTTGCCCTATTCCAGGTCCTCAAGACATCTGAAAAGCTCCCCAAGTATCTACCATTCTTCCTGAAGATTCCCAGCACCCTACTGGCAGGCTCTATGGGAAAAACCTAGTTTTGTAGTGGTCTGGTATCACAAAGTGCTAAAGCGGTGATGCATACAAATGCTGGCCCCTGGCACAAATTAATGTCATGCCAGGAGTCACTGTATTGTTCCTCTCCAGTTTCTTGGCAGTTAAACAAACAAAAAGCCAGTTTCAGCTGGGTGCCACGACATACGCTTCTGGTCCCAGCACTGAGGGGGGTGACTGCTTGAACCCAGGAGCTGAAGACCTTCCTGGGCAATACAATGAGCCCTTGTATCAAGAAGGTCTCAGAGAAGGAGAGAAGGGCACAGAAAAGGAGAAATGGGAGAAAGGAGAGATGGAGAAAGGGAAGGAGAGAAGAAAGCCAGTTAACTTTGAATTTTACTAAATTTCAACCTAAGTGCATAGGAAATGCACATCTCCATTAAAGAACAAACAAGAGCTAAGGTATCCTTAAGCATGGGCTTACTACCCTGTAACTTCCAGGATACATGTAGGGTGTTGGCTGCCCAGTGTCTGTTGCTAAGGACCCACTGTAATCCTCACTATTACAAGGCGATCCCCAGCTCTCTGGGCTGACTCCTGATACCAGCAGCAGATATTAAGGAGGTAGTGGCTGCCAGCAAGGGCCTGGAAATACATCCAAGGCCTGATGAGTACGCAATGGACTGCTGAGGTTCTCACCCAATGAAAACGTGCCGGGATGATGGGAAAGACATTGGATATATTTCTGCCTCATAATTCTCTTTTTAAAAAAAGTCTCATCTGAAAACTCAGAAAACAAATTATCATCACTGGTGTAAAAAAGCTTAAAAAATAATCAAAATCAAATTTAAAACCAATTTTATGGCCTCACACTGCTTTGTTCCCCTACTGTTTGCCCTTCCCACACCCTCTTCCATTCCATTTTCTTTCTTATCTTGATACACATTATCAGAGTAACTGGCATCCACAGCTTCACAGATGGAAAGAACATATGACAAACACATCAGTGTACGAGGGTGTGTTCTATAAATACTCCAGAAGTGCCTGTGACGCAGCAGTAGAACCTGCCTGCAGTCCTGAGAAGATACTGTTCCAGGCCATGAAGAGAGGCTCAGCCTCAAGCTGAGCTATCATCCGAATGCTGAAGATGCTGAGGCAGTGGGGGTGGACCTATGGCCCACATTATTGCATTTTCTCCTTAAGACCAAAGATGTTAATAGAGTTGTTTGGTTCTAAACTAACACCTCAGTATTCTTCTAAACTAAAACCTCAACATTCAGATTTAATTGTAATGTTGGCAGTTTGCGATAAGTAGGTTTTGGGTTGTGACTTGGCACTTGGTCTCTCAAGGTTCACCACCACTGTGCTTAAGGAATGAATGACGTGGCATCTGGCTAGCCTCCACCTGAATACGAACTGCAGATGAGCTAGCACCAGCTCCAGCGCTCCTTGCACGCTTGCCATCACTGAGCATGCCAAGCAGGACCCAGCCATAGTTGTGGTAAAACATCACCGACAAAACCAGCTCTGTTTTCTGGCCTCATCCATAAAACTAGAGGCACAGGTCTCCTGAGTTCTTCCCAGCCACAGAAATTAAGCATCCAGGTCCTGGACCTTCTTACAGGTTGGCAATCCCGCAAGGCTTTGTTTCTAGAAACTTCATATTTCCAGAGATAATGGGGTGAGCGCAGCCAGAGCACAGGAGGATGCTTTCGGAGGAAGCCTAAAGCCCTGCTGGGGTAGATCTACAGATACGACTGCCACAGATGAAAGGCTGGCAAGCCGGAGCAATGTACTTTATTGGTTTTATTAGATGCTGTCTGGCACACTACATCTTAAGTGTTAAGTCTTCACCACACACCAAGATAAAGTCTCTTGCAGAATCTTTCACTTAACATAGTCTCATGCAGTGTTCATCTAAACTACAAAGTGCCTCCACTTCATGGAGGCTTAAGAGGAACCCTAATAATTCCAGTTTCAAATGGAAAAAGCCAGAGAACAACAAAGCTAAAGGGTGCGCTGTGCTTGCAGTTTACAGGAGGATTAACTATTCTTCCTCCCCTACTACCTAGCAGCACCCCAAGCAATGCAGACAGCACAGGACTGGGCTGGGAGTGCACAGCTTTTCAGTGCATCTGCTGTTATTACCTTATAAGTGGCTTTCATTAGAATAGTGACTTGGAAACATCCTCAAATCCAGCTGCAACCAAGAGCACTGAATGAACATGTGTAGCGGCCAGCAGGAGCAGGTCTCTCAAAGTCCTGCTACCTTGACGACAGACCCTGCTTTTCGGAAAATGTGCCTTATTAATCAGGTATGTGAGCAGTTTTAACTAGAGGCTCCATATTACACATACAGAGAATTTAGGTAAAACTAAGTGCCCTTAACACAAATCTCTAAAAAGAAAACTGTACTTTTGTCATTTCTGGATGACGATGACTTCTAGGTAGAAATGTATGTAAAGGAATCAAGTAATGATCACCACATTATTTCACTAGCGATAATGGAGTCAGAGTGGTTTGTCAATTTATTTAGAATAGAACATTCTAAAGAAGTCAAAATGTTCTTTTTCTGTATTTTAGGGAAGGGTCTACAGGGTGTTTAGGGTCTCACTACTAGATCGAACTCGTAGTGATACACCTGTTTACAGCCTCCCAAGAGCTGGGATTACAGGTGCGCACCACCACACCCAGGCTCAACTGCTGTCTCAGCATGCCCCAGGGGTTGGGCTGGCATGGCAGGCCTGGGGATCGAACCTCCAGCCCCTGCACCTGCTTGCAGGCGCTTTAATCTGCTGAGCTATTTGGCCAGCCCAGCAAAATGTTCTTGAGCACAGTTAGTATAAATATAATGTAAAGAGCAAGAGCAACAACTACCTAGAAGTCCTAATTCCAACACAGACTAACATGATGCATCCAGACTGTTAGTGAGCCAGCACTCAAGCCACTGCTAGCTCCTCCGGTCAAATTTATGTTCAACTGTAGGACACAGACAGTCAAGAAGGCATGTAGAATAAATCTATATGATCTGCATCTAGAAAGCATAGCAGGGCCGGCCAAATCACTCAGCAGATTAACATGCCTGCAAGCAGGCCCACGGGCTGGGGGTTTGATCCCCAGGCTTGCCATGCTGGCCCTGGCGCGGGGAGATGGCAATTAAGACTGGGTGTGGTGGCGTGTGCCTGTAATCCCAGCTCTTGGGAGGCTGTAAACAGGCAGATTACTGTGAGTCTAATGTAGTAGTGAGACCCTGTAGACCCTTCCCTAAAACAATAAAAAAAATAAAAATAAAAGAAAGCATTGCAAAAGGGATATGACTGAAGATAAAAAGCAAATATGAAAGTAGAAAAATTACCATACTAGTTCTAAGGTACTGTGCTAGATACATAAAAAAAACTTCACTCAATCATCCAAATAATCCCAAGATACACAGAGAACTTGTCCCAGGCCAGTCTGATTCTGAGGCTCTGGCTTTACCTGCCAGAAAACTTCTTTGAGATGACAGAGTGAGTGCTGCTCTGTCTGCCTTCAAACCTCAGAAGCAGGTAAGAATAACAGGCAGGGTTGGCAGTATCAGACTTGCCGCAACACAGAGACATAGGGAAGCTGGGTGTAAGCAACTACAAAACTGTAACAAAAAATGACCAGCCTTACAAATTAAATGCCATTAATTCGGTGATACGTTTCCTGATCCTACTGTCTGGCTGAAACCTAATGGACTCCTGCCGCTGAGCCCTTGAAGCCGTACAGCCTGCACGACACCACAGCAGGTCACAGGGGACTCTGCTGTGGCCACTCCTCTGTATTTGGGAAACTACAAATCTCTCCCCATGTTCTTTCACAAATTTATCACTTACAAATTTAACTTATTTCATTACTCTATAACCAAGGGCCCCAAAAAAGACATTTCTTGCCACTTGGACTGCTAAATACAAAAGCAAATCAAGGGAATGAAGTCAGTGTGCAGCAGGTACAGTGTCACCATACACTTTCATGAGTGTACGGTGTTTGTCATAAAATAGCCCAAGGGGTGTGGGGGGAAAATAGCTCAGTAGAGTAAGCACTTCCCTGGCAAGCACAAGGGCCTGAGTTCAATGCCCAGTTCTGCTAAATAAATAGCCCAAGGGAAAAATTAGAGAAAAACAAGATTAGCAAAATCTAACAAATGTTAAAGCTGGGTGATAATTATGTATATGGGTATTCACTGAACTATTTTCTCTGGGGGATGCTTACAATGTTCCATGAAGTTTTGCTTTTTTTTTTTTTTTTAAATTCATTTTATTGAGAAACACATAGCAATGAAACAGTTTCAAAACCAATTAGCAGGACAATTTCAATAGTTAATAAATTGCATATTGTTGTCTTCGTAGTGCTTATTCATAGTACAAGATGCAGATATGATATCCTGTCCAAGCACTATTAGTATAAATCTTTCTTCTCATTGAATTAAGAGAAAGTAGCTGTATATTTATCCTAACTATTTTGTATATACAGATACAAAATGACCCTTCATTTATATCCCTTTTTTTTGTTTAGTTTTGTCAGAGATGGGTATTGCATTCTCATTTAAATATACGTGCGTGAATTCAGCAAAATAATCCTATCTAGTCCTTTTTTTTAAAGTAGGTCATCTGGATGATTCAAAATGCATTTGAATTGGTCACTGGATATTAATGAAAGGAAAATTAACTTTTATACATATTGTCAACACAGATTTCAAAACCAGTTGGCACTAAAATTTTATTTAGTATTTGGATTATGTGACTACCTTTAAAGTCCTAGGTGAACCCCAAGTGCAACTTCATTCATCTACTCACTGTGGTGCTAGGAATGGAGCTCAAGGCCTAGTGTACCAGCTATGCAGGTATGGTGCCACTGAGCTACATGTCCCAGGCACAACTTTAGCTTTTAATTAAACCAAGAGCCAAATACAGTACCACTTTTGTTGGGAAAAGGTATCAGCTTTATGTCGTTTTTTGTATTTTCCTATTCATTTTTCCATCATCAGTACAGAACCTAGCAACTAAGAACTCAGTAAATCATATCTATAGAGTATCTTGTTACTTATAAATCATAGTGAGTAGTAGATAACCTTTAAACCCTTTTCCAAACCTATGATTTCAACAGTTAAACAGTCCAAGAAAGTACCAGAATAAGAGGAAGGGGAAAATATTTTCCAAATAATACATAAGGAAGGCTGGCAACAGAGATTCTTCCCATGAAAGATAGCCTAACAGAAAAATCTAAGAAGGTCTTCAGGAGGTCAAATCCTTTACCAGCTGCTGCATCTGATGCCAAAGTGCACAGCTGTGGTCCTTGGTTGGCCTCAATTCAAACGGGCTAAGATTGTAGCAAACCACATACTCTGTTGGCCTACTACATTTACTTTGACCTTTGAAAACCAATTTTATCATTATTGACCATCTTACATGATTCTCAGCATAACAAGTCACTTAAAATTACAAATTCTCTATCCCCTACCATGACCAGATTTTCTTTTACATACCATAAATTATACACTCAGGAAATGCTTCCTCACTTTACCAAAGAGGAATGGAACAAAAGCTCATCTTGAGGCAGAAACACATACTCACAAGACCCAATGTCAGGCCATTGAGCTCCCTGTCTCTGAGCAGTGTAATCACTTATCAATGGTGGCTTTGTCTGATTTCTTTCTCAGGTGCCTGGGACCTTAAAAAACACTGCTGGGTATCCTAAATTCACAGTCAACACATATAGCTCTTCAAAACAAAATGTCTGTTTCTTATCTCTGGTTTTAGAATGTTTTACACAAGACAACAATGGCCAGATTTTAGAAATAAGGAGAAAAGTCGTGGCCTTAATTTTATACTTCGTCTCCTGGGTATTCAGCTATCATTCTGCTGTTTTCTAAAGAGTATATCTAGTGCTGTATCTCCCAGGTTTATGAAAAGAGTAACAGGTCACAAACTACCACAACTTACCTAGGAATGCAGGCTAGATATGAAATTAGTCTCCTGAGATCCTCTTGTCGTATTCTGTCATGATTGCTGCGGGCTGGAAATGTTAAAATGGGACCCCCACGTTTATCTCTACCACCTAAAAAAGCAAACATTGGAAACACTTAGAAAAAAGCCAACATCAGAAAGGACTCACTCTATGCCATCCCAAGTCCAACATTACCATCTATTCACTCATCAAAACAATACCTAAACACACCACAAAGTCAGGAAGGATCCTGCGAAACCCAAGTCTCTGTGTCACCTGAGACACAGAGCAGCTACTCCATCCGCTCACAGGAATCAGAAGAAATGGCCCAGGTTTTGAAGGGCAAATAAAAGTTACTACAGCAGGCCTTGTCTTTTACTGTTAGAAGAAACTCCTCCCTTTAATGTTTGGAGAGACAAACGTTCTCATGCACATGTGATTCATTCATATTGGCAACCTCTCTCTTGCCCGCTACTCTTCCTTCCCTTCCCTGCATTCTAAACTGCCTCTTTTCTACCAACCAGAATGGGTTTTCAGCCTTGAAAGGAATGAAAAAAGGAAGTTTTAGGGGCCAGGGAGATGCCTCAGTAGAATAAGCACTTGCCTGGTGAGTAAGGGCCTGAGTTCAATCCCCGCTTCCGCAAAAAAATAATAAAATAAATAAATATGAAAAAAGGAAGTTTTTTGATGCTGATGACCACCCTACATAATTTGGGATAGATAGCATCTGACCACCAGTGGCCAAGATTTACCAACCATTTACACAAAGCTGTATACCCAAAACAGATAGGCATAGAAGACTGTTTTATTTGGTGGCCAGCTCATCTCACGGGGGGGGGCTGGCATGGCATGTGGTGCAGGAAGATCAAACTGCAGACCCTGTGTGCTTGTCTAAGCAGGCGCTTTAGACTGCTGAGCTATCTCAGCCTCTCTTCCTCTTCCTTCCCCTCCTCCTCCCCCTCCTCCTTTTTTTTTTTTTTTTTTTGTTTTCTGCATACAAGACTTTTAAAGAGGAACTAGATTGAGATACACTACCTCATACCCTAATACAAATCCAAATCTGACTCTGACTCAACAGACAGGAGGGATATATATATATATATATATATATATATATATATTCTCAATGAAGCCAGCCTTGTATCACAGACACTTTGGTGAAATTATATTTAGTTCATTACTTCTGTCAAGATTATCAGGAAACTAGAGAAGGAAAATTTAACCTTCTCAAGCAGATACTTCATTTAGTTTTATAACTCTGATTATGTCTCTTCAGACGATTTTAAACTTCTTCAAGTCACAATATGCAAGTCTCTTAATTATATTTTATGCACCAAAAATCATCGGCAAGGTAAAATTAAAAAGCAAACAAGAAAAAAACGAAAGATGACTTCATGTTAGAAAGATCAAAACAATATATAACAGATGAAGCTGGTATTTTTACAATGAATTTTAGCAATGTTTTACAGTTTCTTGGATAGTCACTCACATGTTTAAAACAATTCTGATTGTGAATACTTAAAATGATCCACATGTGCTATGCAGTCATGTGATCTTTAAAAAGTCCTAAATTATTTATAACCTAACAGTTCAAGTATTCAGTAGGAATCATACTATATACAGATGCCAACACATCTCAGTCATCAATGAAATGGTTAACATAGTAAAAATAGGGCAGCTCTACTCGTCTAATAAATCCCCCCACAGAATCAACATTTCCCACCAAATATTTCTGCCTTCCTCCATATAAAAATCCAAGCTAAACCTAACCAGATCTCAAGATTTAACTTTTTGCCTTCAGGAAAAATGAAATGAGAAACAGAATAAGTGACCACTAAGGGATACAACCCACAATATCTAGAATGTAGAAAAATCTGTAAGAAAACATTCAAATTTCCTTACCTAATGAAGGTAAAGAGAAAAAACAAAAATAGCAAGAAAGAACCTGAAGGCCAGCTGTCTCCACCAACTACCATTTGTTCTTTATATTAAAGATCTATAATTCCATTTTTTAGGTCTATTTATGGTTCAGTTTTTTAAAAATCAACTTTTAGAGATACATAGTAGATGTTTATAAACAAAATGATATGACATCTGGAATTTATTGCAAAATTATCCAGAATAAAGGCAGGGGAGGAATACGAACATATATGAAATAAGACTTTTGAACTATGGGAAATTTGCTACACTATTCTCTTTCCACTTGGGTATTAAAACCTTTTACAATAAAAAACTTATTTTAAAAGGCACATCGTCTCAGTTTTGGTGTTTGTGAACTTCTTTAAGGGCCAAACCTACCATCGGGGCTGTAAGTAGCAGGTGAGATGCCATGATGGTAGACCCCTCCCCAAGAGGGGAGCACCCCATGACCTCACTGTACATCCCACACCACAAGCAGGACAAACCATGCGCACTCCACCGTACACAGAGTTTCTTCCTATAGATAAAAACTTATAATAATGTTTAATTTACAAATTAGGCATAAGAAGTGAAGAATAATAACTAGAACTATAGCAACATACTATAATGAATATTTTTTGTATGTGGCCAATCTCTCTAGAAAAAATCAGTAAGATACTAACATTTTCAATCACTGATGGCCACAGGTAATTGAAACCACACACAAGGGAAGACAATGTGCATATAAATGACTTAAACATGAACCTCAGAACACTTCATTTACTAATTCTCTTACTCCATCTGTGCTGCTATTACAGAACACCACACACCAAGTAATTTACACAGAACAGAAATGTATTCTCTCATACTTCTGGAAGCACGAAGTCCAGGACCAAGGAGCCGGCAGGTGAGGCTGTCTGGGGAGGAGAGGAATGCTGTGGTGGAAGGGCAAGCACCAAGCCTCTGACGCCAAGGTCTTCACCCCTTCACTTCCTGAGGCCTGCTCTATATCCCATCACACTGTTAACCCCGGAACTTGGCAAGGACATTGGAAGCATAGCACTCTCGACCTTAAGCATGAAGTTAGATATGCCATTTAACTTCATTTACTCCACCCTCAATGGTGGAAGAAGAATGTTATCTTACTTCAGTACAGTGAGTATTTTTAGAATATCTGGAGATGAGACCAAGGATTAAAAATATTTAAGCCCAAGGAATCCTATCTGGATTTTTATAGATTTTTTTAACTAATAAGTAAGTTTTAGAATAATTTTTTTTTTTTTTTTTTTTGGCCTACTTTTGCAAAAGCCCTTTCTAGTCTACATTTTGATTACTAAAAGTCATTCACATGGAATTTTTATAAATATTCCATAAGGTCAAAATAGAAAGATTAGGAGCCGCCTGAGTTGAGGGCAGCAGAAATGAGTGTGAGATTCTTCAGGAGGCAATGAAATGTCTTGGCATCAGACGAGGGCTGGGGCTGTGATCAGCAGAGGGACCCTGTCTAGCTACCATGAAGGCCTGCGTTCAAGCTCAGAACCATGGCAACAGCAAGAGCCACCTGGAATTCGCAGTGATAGTTCCACAGACTTGTGAGTCTACAAAGGCCTTTAAAATCACACATTTTAAAAAGGCTGACTTAGTGATATGTAAATTGTATTACTTAATAAAAAAATCAGGTCAGAGACAAAATTACGAGCATTCTTTTGTTCTTCAGAACTTTATTTTTTTACATTTTATTTTAAAGAGAAGAAAACAAAAACAAATAACAAAAACAAAGACAAGACAAAAACAAAGCAACATAAAACAATAAAAATGGTACAGAATTTCAAAACCAGATTAGGCAATTAACAATAGTATTATATTACCATCCTTTGGAATTTATTTTGGTGGTGCCTGCCAGGGATCACATTCAGGACCTTCTGCTTGCCAGGCAAGCACTTATTCCACTGAGCTATCTCCCCAGCCCCCATTCTTTGGAACTTTTAAAAACCCACAATACAAATAATCAATTTGTCTTAAATTTATTTTTTTTTTCTCCCCTTCTTCCTCTTCTACATCAGTTAATAATGATCCTAAGACAACCAGCAAGGAGCTCACAGAGCGCAGCAGGCCAGGTCTGGCCCTAAATTGGAGACACTGCCGCAGTGTGAGCGAGGGCACTCTGCTCTCACAGCAGACGCACTTTCTGCCGGAACGAATGTTTAAAATTCCACACATGTGTAATGACTGCAAACTGTTGCTGCCCACAGAAGAGATCTAACTTACAGAATTTAAAATTAAAGATACATGACTAAGTCAGGAAGAGCCCTGGTTTTATTTCTTTGATGAGTTAAAAAGTAGAATTTTAGTTTTGACTATAATTGGGTAAAAATGTCACCTGATAATAAATGCTGTACTAACTTCCTAGTAAAAGAATAAATACAAATAAAAGCCACCAATCTAAACCATCCACCTGTCCTTATATATCTATCTCTATGTTTAATTTAAAAAAAAAAAAAAGCGTGCAAAGGTCTTGAGATAGGGGAGTGGAGCCAGCTCTTGCTCTGGCCCCAGACGCTGTCCATGTAAGAGACGGATGAACCTGCAATAACTGAGTTGGGCACGGTGGCACATGCCTGCCCTCAGCACTCTGAGAGACTAAGGAGTGAACACTCAAAGCTCAAGCCCAGCATACAGTTTAGATCTAAAATGTCCCCAAAGTCTCATATACAGGGAAGGTGACTGGACCATGGAGCGCTGTGCTTATCTGTGGACTCCTCCTCACATGGGATCAGCAGCTGAATGTGCTGTTAGGAGGTGGAGTTGGATGGAGGTGGGCTCCTGGGTTTGAGCACTAGAAGGGTGTATTCTTGACCCTGCATCCTCCCTTTCTCCCTACTTCCTGCTGCCATGGGGTGAGTAGCTGTTTTCTGCCAGACCATTCTAGCATGCCCTTCTGCCTTAGAGCCAGTGAACTAGGGACTGAATCCTCTAGAAACTGTGAGCCAAAATAAAACTTGTTCTTTAAAGTTTAGATGGCAGGTATTCTGTCCCATCGACAACAAAGTAACTTAGATACCCAGCCTAAGACCCTGTCTCAAAATAAAAAAATTAAAAAGGGCTGGAGATATGGTTAGGGTGCAGGTCCCCTTCAACTTCCAGTCCTTGGCTGAGTGCACAGGGATGGGAAGAGAAGACAGGACCTTGAGGAACTGGCTTTCTGTAAGCTTTCATCATTGATGTCTCTATTACATCTAAGTAGAATTAACTTCAAAGTCTGTAAACTAGAAAACCAGGACTTCATGAAACAGGTAGGAGTCCTCACAGAAATATGCAGTATTATAGTCAATAATACATGAGTAAATGACACTTTTAAAACTCAGTGTATTTCAACGGAGTTTGTGTGTTTAAAATCCCCAACAACTTAAAGCACCTTGCTCTCATATGTACTCCTGTATTCTTCTATTAACCTTCCAAATGCATTGTGAAATAGATTTGTTCCTACAAAATCATCAGTCTTTACTGGGGACCAAGAAATAATACTGAACATGACAAACACAAACCAAGATTGTCAAAAGCACCTTAGGAAGTTTTATCCTAAATATAGACCAAAAACACATACTGAAAGAGGACCCAAGATGCCCCTTCCCAAAAAAGCAGCCAGCAGTGTTATAAATTAAGAATGAAATGTATTCAAGAGGATACTCAGATCAGCATTGTACACCTGTTTGAGATAAAAATGTATCAAGAGAAAGGCATTCAGGACTATGTGATCAGCTACAGAGGCACTGCCTGCTGAAATGGAGCGGTGAAGCCTTACAGACCTTTGCTTTGTAACAAGTGAAGTGGGGCCTAAAAGGTAAGATACTCTGTTGCTGCTCTGTTCATGCTGGAAGGAGAAACCAAGAATAAAGTGAAAAGGGGCTGAAAGCTGACTCTGGGTGCAGAAGAGAGAGTAGACAGGTGCCACACAGCCCAGGGACACCCAGTTTATCTCCAAGCAGCAGAAGGTGGGACCCCAGAGACAGTTATGGGGAAGCTGAGACTCTGCTGTCAGCAATCAACAGCACTGCACATTCTATGACAGAGATTCCAGTAATTCCAGGGCCACAGATCCCCAAAGAAAGGGATCTCAAGGGGAGGACAACACACACAAGTACTACAGAATTTCAGGACACATCTACAAACATACTCCCTTTATTTTTGCTGAGGTAAATGGATTAAAAAATCAGTTTATTTTACTTCCTTGCTTAAGGCAAACTAGTCAAATGTTTGCTAAATGACAGGCAAACATTTTTTGATGACCAGTGCTACCTAGCTTCTGGTGTGCCTGCTGGACAGAAGAAATGCAACAGGCAGCAACTTCTCAGAGAAAATGTTAAAGAATAAAACAGTTAAACATCTGCCGAGGGCCGGTGAGATAGCGCAGCTGACTAAACGCCTGCTTAGGCAAGCGCAGGGACTGGGGTTCAAATCCTGGCACCACATGCCACGATGCCTTGCCCCCAGGCACACTGAGCCAGCCACCGTGACCTGGCATGGTGGCGCATGCTTGTAATCCTAGCCTTGGGGAGGCTGAAAATAGGAGAATCACTGAGTACATGCTGCATAGTGAGACCCTGTATCAAATATATTTTTTTAAAAATCTGCTGGAATACCAATGTTTTTATGAGTATGGCAGGTCAGCTAGTTTAGAACGTCAAATTGTGGTGTTATGTCAGAGTAGTTAAAGAAAACAGCTTGAAAAGTTAGACCTTACCTGAAAGGTATGCTACTTTTTCTTTCAGAATTGGCAAAACATCCATAGCTTTCATTTCATCGTTTTTTCGAAACCCTGAAATATACAAGGAGAAAATTATATTACTGGGTTGCTTGACTGACATTTAAAACCCACTCTATCCAATGCCAACACTGCAGCTTTTTCACTTCATTAAATCAACTTAAGAAACACCATCACACAAGACCATTCACATTCTATGAAAAGCAGGGTACAATCATGTTTTGTTTTGTATTAAGCTTGAATAATGAACTGCATGCACATTCAAAGACTCATGTCCCAAAGACCCAGCCATTTCCAGCAATAAAAATGTGGTCTCCAAAACCCAGAATAAGAAATTGGTCCCATTTATCAAATCTTCACTTTAATCTTGTAAATTAATTTCAATACTAGCAAAGAGAAGGGTGACGTTGCTTTATAAAAAGTATTTGTGGTACACGAATCCCTCTAGGGGGAGCTCCATGTCTCCTCTTTCACTGAGACCAACAACTGCTTCAAAGGAAGCCCTGGCCTAGCAGAGAGATTATAAATAGCAGAGAGGCTGCCACACCCTCTCTGTACACTCCTTCCAGGCTTTCTGGGTCCTGCCCCGTGAGGAACGTCAGTGGGTGACATGGCGAGGTGGCCCAGGGGTGCTCCAGCTTCCAAAGTGGCTAAGATCATTCTCAGTTAAAACCAACTCTTGTTCTCCAATACCTCTGAAAGCTGTGTGAGTATTTTGCAAAAATGAAGCACACAGCAGGCAATTTAGGACAAGCTAACATCTATCGCAGCAAATGAAGTCTTGCAGGCCAAACATGTCCAGCCCAGCTCACCAGAATAGAGGCCTACTTGGGAATTTGGGGTCAAAACGTTTATACTCATAATCTTATCTTATGATATTCTGGTGAAAATGTCAAACAGAGGTTATTTAAACTGAGGAATATTCATTAAGACTAGTAACTAACATTACTACTAGCAGAATTATCTCTACAAAAAAATTAAAAACTGCTTCTTCATACCACTTTTCTGTTTTTGTCAAACAGTGTAGAAAAATCATCCAGAATATTAGATACTTGCAATAGATATATACTTGCAATAGAAAGCAAGAGAAGTAGGAGAAGTAAATGAATATGCCTGTCGGACCAGCCCTGACCTTGGAAAACTATAAATACTTTCTCAAGGCATTGGAGAGTGGTCAAAACAGAGAGATGCTCTTGGAGAAAAAGGGAACTGCACTGAGTCCACTTCTCTTTATCACGGCCATTAGCCTGAAAACAGCCCTGTGGGGCTGCTAAACAAGTTAAGATTCATATGCATTCTCTTCCTATCTCTCTGTTTCTCTCTGTCTCTGTCTGTCTGTCTGTCTTCCCCAGACCACCGTGAAGCAAATGTGCCCCCCCCCATCAAGCAACTGAAACAAGCAAGAGAAAGCTTCGAAAAGAGCTAAGTTGCCCCAGATACTAGGTACTGATGTGGCCCAAATCCCCAGCTTTCCACTGAGCCCCATGTGTGTAGGGCAAGTTTCCCTTGGTCCTGCTCAGCATTATAGATCTGATTTGCTATCTACTGCAAAGGAGCCAAAATTTGCAACTTGGGTCCAATCAAATTAGATGCCTGACACACAAGCAAATAAACAGAAAAATAAGCATCTATGGGAGAGATAACATCATTCAATCTCTACAACACATCATTCACAGATGCAATGAATAAATTAAATGCTTTCTGATATGTTTAAGTAAACCAGCCTGTCCCACAGCACACTTACACATTTACACAGACCCAGTTTAATGGGATTTAACCATGACAGTGACTGTCACCACAAGCTTTGCAACCAACATACCCTGCTGAGGATCCAAGAAAGCTAACACTCTCCAGTCAGTTACAGATGGCCTGACAAGAGCCCAGGTCCCAAATCACCATGCCACTTTCCTTTCCAATGTTCCATGCTTTGTGCTGGCAACCCACCAAGCTTTTGAAACAGTGGCTATTTTATAGAATGAAAAACATCCATGCCAAGAGTTCTCCAATTTCATCCCCAGGTTCCCTACAAACTCCAAACTCTTGAACGGATGCAATCTAATCTCCTCAGAACAATTCCCTGTCAATCATTGTAATTCATTGAATGTATCGACAAAGCCTGATTCCACCTTGATTCCATCGGTGGACTCATGGCATAGGAGCAAACACAAGAAGAAACAAGCCCCACAGCAGCTCTCAAAGAAAAAGTTTATAAATTGCTTTAAAACAAGGCTGATTATGAGTTTCAGAAGAAGTGGCACAAGGGGCCAGGAGACTACCCTTCTGTTTTTTTCTTTTTTCTTTCGGTACTGGGGGTCAAACTCAGGACCTTGCACTTGCCGGGCAGACACTTGTGACACTGAGCTATCTCTCCAGCCCCTGGGGCGAGAAGACTATGACAGTGATGATGCCTCCTTTAGGGCTTCCAGGGAAACACAGTGTGGCATGTGTGCCACAGGTTTGCCACCACTGACTTAAGCACATGTGGCAGGCAGATCACGCAACAAACAATACTAGGAAGGATTAAGCTTTGGCTACAGGTACCAACCTACGGTATTTGACAAGAAATGTTCCTCTGATCACTCAGGTAGGAGAGTGCAAGCACACTACCATTTCCACAAGCCGATGTCCACCGTGTCCTGGGTCCCAGCCAAGAGAAATCCACAATTATGGTCCTGGGCTCTGCACTACAGAAACAGAGCCACACTTCCCATCACACGATGCTCACCCAAAACTGCCAACTCTACCCCAGGGCTGATCGCTCACAAAAAGACTGTGTGACTGAAGTCATCATCCCAAGCATCTTGACAACTGCTAACTTGCTGAATCACATTTATTTACTTTACCCAGGATGGGGTGGATGACAGAGTCAGAGCTGTCATATGCCTGGCTACTCAAAGAAAGAATGTTGTACAGATTTGAGAATGGTGCAGAAAACAAAACAAAAATCTCAACTTTCTATTCTTCATTATGAGCCAAGGCTTACTCCCACCTGACCTTATCATCGTGTACTTAGAGCTGTGGTTACTTAAGCCTATTAGTCCTTCAGTTTCTCCTTCAAATTAAATAAGATGCACAAAAGAAAAACACAGGGATCAACAACAAACTGATGTGGAAAGGTATGTGCTTCTATAGTAATATATGTGCACACCAAACATAGGGCAGAGTATAAATCCTAACCAGTTTTGCAACAAAATATTGTTGAATACGTCATAGAAAAGGTTTATTTTTATTAACATTTTCAAGTACAGCTTCTAGAAAAGAAAATAAAGAGGAAAGAAATATGAAACTAACCATAGAAATAAATTATTAAGTGGTTACTTTAATATTATCTTAAATCTCATTTCCATTTTTTAAAAAACACATGAAATAAATGACTCAGAACATACAAATACTAAAACTGCCTTAAATATAGCATGTAGTTTTCATTAAAAAGCAGGCAGAACTTAACCATGAAATTTCTTCAGATCAAAAAGTCGTATCTATTCCACACCCTGGTGAGACATTTATGAAAACAAAACGTGCAGCTATAAAAAATATTTTCAAAATTAAAAATACTGATAGTAAGGGCTGGCCAGATAGCTCAGAAGACTAAAGCACCTGCTTAGGCAAAGCACAGTGGCAGGGGTTCACTCCCCAGTGTGCCATGCTGGCCCCACCCCCACGGAGCACTGAGACAGCGAATGAGACTGCGTGTGGTGGCGTGCCCCTTTAATCCCAGCACTTGGAAGGCTGAAAACAGGAGACTCACTGAGTTCAATCTACATAGTGAGACCCTGTACTAAACACATTAAAACAAAAAACAAAACAAAACCTGATATAGCTCAGAGCAGAAAAGAGAAGAAAATAAAGAGGACAGAAATATGACACTCGCCATAGAAATAATTTGTAGTTATTATAGTGGTGACTTTAATATTATCTTAAATCTCATTTCCATTTTTTGTCAGTGCCTGCCTGACAAACACACAAGGTCCTAAGTTTGAGTCTTAGTACCAAATAAGGTGGGGGGGGGAGGGGGAGGTTATGTGCTATTCCAGTGGTTCAAGATTATACAGGAGATATGACCTCTAAAGTTTTCTTTATTTGTGCATTTATTTGGATGTGGTTCCTAGACTCTTCCTGGAGTCTAGGAACAATCATTTGCTGCACTTAAAGGATGTCACCTGGAAGCACACTCACTTCCCACAATCTCTGAGAGGTTAAAGAACAGTAAATGCAATTTCCAAAGATGTTTCAGCGTTCCCAGATCTCGTTCGTGTGCCACAGACTGGGAGTCAGCAACATTTTCACTGCTTTGTACCATCATAGGGGTATCCTGATGCCACAAACAAGATGTCGCAAAAAAGGGGCGGGGTGGTGGTGGTAAAAATTAGAAGAGGAGAAACAGAAAGGGGTAGAAAAAAGAGCAGCAACTTGAAAGGATATAATACAAATAAACAGTCTGCATTCGGGAACATTTACTTGTACTCATCTTTTAAATTGAATAATTTTAGAATTACATGGAATTCTTAGTAAAGCACGCACAAAGACAGGCTGGATTCTCACCACAATTCTTGTTAAATTTAAATGACATTTCATTACCTGAGATGAAGAAGTCTAATTTTAATGGTGTGCCAGCCCTAGGCACCAGGGCCCCACACCAGACAGGTTCCGTGGAGGTTTCTCCGGAGAGGAGGGAGGGAGTGCTAAAAGGCAGGCCGCAACTACTCTTTCGAACCCAGTCTAAACCAAGTACATTCAGAATGTTCATATAAAATCTGCACTATTCCAGAGCTGAACACTAGTATTTGTTGAAAGGAAAAACCAGCTTGGGATAAAAATCAGATTCTATAGACAGTAACTAAAATTAGATATGTGAATAGTGCTCAGTGACTTGAAGCTATACTTTTTTTTTTTTTTGGCGGAACCGGGGATTGAACTCACACCCTTATGCTTGCCAGGGAAGCACTTATTCTACTGAGCCATCTCCCCAGCCCCTAGGTTATACTTTTTAAGTTGCTATTTGGGCTATGGCACTCATCAGACACACAGTAGTTCTCTGTACCCCTCCCCCCATC